ATATCTAGAGAGAGATTCTATATGTGTATACATATGTACTTAATTATTTCTATATGTATATATACATGTACTTATTTTCATAAGTTGAGAGAGAGAGAAAATTGCATCTAGAGAGACATTCTATGTGTTATCACATGCATATATCTAGAGATATAGACATATGCACTTATTTCTATGTGTTGAGAGAGAGAGAAAATATATTGTATCATTCTATGTGTATATATATACATGTACTTATTTTCATGTTTTTGGATCGAAAGTGTTTTTGATTCGATTCCAAAGCCTATACCTTATGTAATTCTTATGTTTATCCTTATGAAATATTATGTGTTATTATATTTAATTGGATTTAGTAATTCTATATGTGTTATCACATGTACTTATGTTATGTACCATAATAATTCTATCTATGTGTTATCTTGAAGATACAAATGGTCGCCTTGGATGATAACTTGAGTGATGACATAATGGCGGATATTATCAAAGCCGGCACCAATGTGGATGTAGATGACACGAGTCAAGATTTCTTTGCTGATTATGAGGATATCCTCGAATATGCTGGTTGAAGATCAACAAATTGTCGCAAGAAAATCTCATGCGAGGTATATTCGATTATCTATCATCTCTTATAGATGCATGCGTACGTATATTTGTTGTTAATCGTTGTGTTTCTACTCATGTAGCCGGTCTCGGATCTACATCAACCACCGACAAAAGTAGGAAAGTCCGAGGCCAAAAAAGCCATTAGAGGGCCGTTTCATAATATCGAAATTCAACACCGACACCGCAAAACATTGGGACCACATGCTCGTATATATGTCAATCAATGTGGGTTCATTGTAAGGATAGGATCCCATTAGTGCTCGTGAATGGAAGCGTAAGATATCCGCTCCTAATGTTAGTTTTGTATCCGATCGTGATAAGAACCTAGCTTGGAGAGATATCACTCAAAGATTTCACATTACAAGCGATGATGCTTTGAAGGAGCTAGTGAGGATTGGACAATGAAGAAGATGGCAACATTGTTCCAGAGTTGGAAGAAGACATTGTATAAAAAAGTTTATCTTGAAGAATGCTACGCCAATTTCAATGCTAAGGCGCTTTGTCAAGTTGAGTCCCATTGGGATGCCTTCGTAGAATACAAGACATCTCAAGACAAAGGAGGAACGTGTGATGAGGAATCGGCGAATGCCCGATGTAAGCAATACCATCATCGCATGGGATCGTGGTTATAGGAGTGCTATTCAAGTGGCGTAACCTAGAAGCGAGATTACCGCCAAGGAATCATACCTGAAACAATAGAAAAGAACTGGCCTCAACGCGCGAAGAATTGGTTCTACGCTCATGGGGGAAGCCTAGACCCGAACAATCGGCAAGCTAATTTTCGCCAAAAATTGAGAGAGCAACACGAGACTAGCTCGTGCTAGGGAAGAAGCCGATAGTGGTGTTTTCAAGCCCAACAGAGAGAAGGATGAATTGACATATGCCCTAGAGAATCCCGAACACGGTGGTGAACAAGAGGCTATGGGGCGGTTCCGTGGCTACACGCATTCCCAAAGAGACAAGGATACCTCATGTAAGCCGCCAGAGAAAGAAGGATGAGGAGGCGAATCAATTCGTGCATTGGAGCAATTTGTTGATGAGTCACGACAAGCATTGCTTGAATCACGTGAACGAGAAAAATCTCTTGAGGCAAGAATGCAGGAGGAGATCAAGAGGCAAGTGCAGCTAGCAATGAGTCAAATGCAATCGCAATCAACGCCGGAGTCACCATTAGCCCTGCTGGTCGATGAAAAGCGATTGTGCTTCTACTGGAGCTGCCAGCTTATTCAAGACGACGCTGGGTTGCGCTTCCCATTGATGACATTACCGAGCCTCTAACAAAATGTGAGCTGCACATTCCGGATGGTAATGCATCAATCATGGTGGTTGTCGGGGTTGTATCTCCAATAGACCGAACGAAGACACCAAGAATCCATGGGTCGCTTATTCAACTTTGGATATGCTAGCGTCTCGGTCGATAGAGTGCTCAAAGGTTACATCAATGTTCCTCTTGACATTGAAGGCGGTGATGGGGAGAAGACACTAGGAGAAACAGAGAAGACATTTATTCAATGGCGCAAACGCTTCATCATCATTCCTGGGGCGCCACCGCTTCCCCTACCTCACCCTAGGTACGAATGAAAGTGAATGAAATATTATTTTCCATTAATTTTCTATTGGCTTCAAAAATAATTGACACACAAATTGTTTTTATAGCAGGGGTCTCTCCCACCTAGCCTAATCATTCATTCCCCATCTCATCACAAATAATGCATGAAGGCGAGACGACTTCATCCCCACGGCGATCGCCAACTCCTACACCGCCCCATCGCCTCCACAACGATCTCCAACTCCTACACCGCCCCACCGCCTCCACAATGATCTCCAACGTCTCCACGCCGGTCTCCACCAACACCGCCTCTCATCGCCTCCACGCCGATCTCCAACACCGCCCCCACCCCTCCACACAAATGACGCACTACAAAGACGCCTAAGGTCCCGTGGCAAAGAAGACCCCAAGAAAAAGAGTTATTTCTCAAGAAATATTTCTGAAAAGACCGATGAGCAAATAGCAAATTGAAGAAGACAAAAAGTAAAAGATTTTTTATAGATATCAAAACAAGAGTCAAGCAAAGCTTAAGGAGAAGCCAGATTTTTACATACCACGAGATGTGCTTTGAGGCGGTAAGGTCGATGCTCACAAGAAAAAGATGATTGAACTTCGTAAGCCTTCGCCACTATCGACTATGACCGCTCCCTCGTGAAGTCACATGATGCGATAAGAAAAGGAAAAGAGCATCGTGGAAGGATGTCCCACAGCTCGGACAATGTAAGCCACCAATGCAAAATCTTGTTGTTGCTAATGAATATGGTTCCAACATAGAAGTCTATCGACCGCATAACTCGGAGAAGTGTCGGTTCAAGCCCTTAATGCTTTTTTAAAGATACCGGTTTAACCTTGGATCAATTGACGGGCAAAGCTCCAATCCGAACACGGAAGTTGATACCGGAAGACTTATAAATATGGCAAAAGTCTGTACAACCTCATGACTCTCGAATGAATTGGGTACGCAAAATGTACTTGCTCAACAAGTGGTACATGCAAAGGCGTGTGGCGGGTGGTGAGCAAAGTGGATCTTTGTCGATTTAGAGACCATCATTACTTCCGTGGCGATGACATCTTACATATTAGTTTCAAGAATTGCATCAACTATTCCACTTGGACGCCTGGACAAATCAATCATGAGCTCCTTTTGTTTGTAAGTGATTCTTACTTTTATTTAATAAACTCACTTCCATGCGTGCGTGTATATAATTATCCTCACATGTAACTTATATTTATATATAGATTCCGGATGTCGAGCTCCAAAGAATACAAGACACCGGTGTTGGCTTCATTGATCCTTATATCGTATTCAAAACCGATATTATTGTCAAGGACCACTGGGTATCCGAAGCCTGAGATTTAATATCATGAAGTTCTTCGTGAAGCGACACGACAAGACAACAATACTTTTCCCGCATAACTTTGAGTAAGTGTTAATAATAATGTAGTCTACACATTTTATGTAATATCAATACAACTTATATGCATGTACGTGTGTGTATAAACCAATGCGCGTTTTCACTCGGATACTCATTGTCATTGAGTTAAACTCAAGTCGGTTACTAATCTTTGACTCGTTGAGAAAAGAACGGGCACTATACCAAGATATGATAGACATTATCCAGGGGTAATTTCGATCTCGCAAGACAACTATTATTGAATAGACTTTGCCATAATTTATTAACGATCGTACATTATTGGTGCATACGAGGGTTTGGAAAGAGTTTATTCGGCAACATCGCAAGGATTGCAAGGCACCACTTAATGTAGTTGAAATACCAAAGTAGTTGTACTATATACACTTCCCCACGTGTTTAATTACTATATCGTACTTCAATTTACGTGTGAGATGATGAGAATAATCTTCTTCTCGTGATGCAAAGGGTGTTTCTTGCAGAACCGGTAATAACTTGTGTGGATACTACGTTTGTGAATTTATCATCACAAGCATATAAGAAGAACTCTCTGAAGATGTCCTCGAGTATGATATATATCAATTTTATTTATTTTTAAATGAATATATATACATATATGTGTATTAATACTTTTCCTTTTATTTCAAATGCAAGACTGAATGGTTGAAACGAAGGGTCATGCAAAAAGACCATCTGAAAGTAGTTCAAGAGTCAATAGCAGGATATCTTCTAGAAAAAGTGCTAAATCCCAACGGCGAGTTCTACTTTGATCTTAAGGAATAAATGATGTAAATTAAATGTTTATTGATATCGTTATTTTCGAGAACAAGATAATGAAAGTGTTGTATATATACATATATATATATATATCTATAATATATATAGTTTCATACTTTATTCGAATATAATAATACTCAAGATGAGAATTAGATGTAATTATATACATGCGTGTATTTATATTAGCAACGTAGAATACGTACATAAAAACATATTATATATTAAACAAATACGTGTAACTGAACTGAAAACAAATTAAACAAAAAAAAAAGAAAAAGAAAAGGAACCTTTAGTCCCGGTTGGGGTTACCAACCGGGACTAAAGGGTGAACCATTAGTCCCGGTTGGTAACCCTAACCGGGACTAAAGGGTGCGCCAGGTTCGCTCGGCTGGAGGGCCTTTAGTCCCGGTTGGTGTTACCAACCGGGACTAAAGGTCCCTCTTTAATCCCGGCTCGATGACCCGGGACTGAAGGTTCCACCTTTAGTCCTGGGATCGTTGTCCCGGCGCGGTAACCGGGACTAAAGGCTGTTACCACCCGGGACAACAGGTCCATTCTGTAGTAGTGAAGTGACCTTTAGGAAACATTGAACATAGCGTGAAACACTGCTTTAGATGAGATGGCAAGTTAAAATAGCTCAACCACAAGCAAGCAGATACCTGACATTCTTTATCATCGACATCTAATAAATTGTTGTCTTTTATGGCATGCCATTGTTCTACTCGTTTCTTGTCACGGAGGATGCCTGCAAGAACTTTAATTGCTAGTGGCACCCCACCGCACTTGTTCACGGTATCTTTCCCAACTTCTTGAAATTCAGAGCCCAAATCTTTCACAGCATTTCCGAAGCTTTGCTGAAACACTTGCCAGCTGTAATCCTTAGATAACAGTGGCAAGTCGATTAATGTTGTAGATTCCACTGCTTCAGCAACATTTCTACTACGAGTAGTGAGTAGAATCCTGCTTCCTGGTGAGCCATTCTTTAGATGTACCATGAACTCTGCCCATTTAATACGCTCTTGAGTCCAAACATCATCCAATACAAGCAGGAACCTTTTGTTGGTCAACTCGTCTGAGATTTTATTGGCCATATACCTCAAGGAAAGGCCATCGGACCTCTCGTTTGAAATAGCATCAAATAGCTTCTTGAGAATTTTTTCAAGTTGAAATTTCTCCTCTGACACATGAACCCATAGTTTAACTGGGAAATGATTATGGTTTTTATTTTTTACTTCGCTGAAAACCAGCTGGGCCAGGGTAGTTTTCCCAGAGCCACCAAGTCCAACTATTGAAACTATCTTGATTCTCTGTTGGTCAACATCCTGTAGCAGCTCAGATAGAATATCATTCATCTCTTGGTCTCTTCCGATTACTGCTGCCTCATCCACGAAGGGCAGTGTTTGCATATTCATAGCTGTGTCTTCTATATGGCTAACAGGATCATTGCCAACCACTGAATTAAAAATACTTCTTTGCTTCACAAAGACATCAAACATCTTCTTAATTTTCTAGATCTTTTTGGCAGCCTGGCATTGAAATATAAATGATTTTGGTTTTGTGTGCAGGCATCTGGACACAAAACCACCATCACCATCAGCTTCATATTTTTCAGCCTTCAGTTGGAACTCATCCACAACATCATCAACCTCATAAACAGCTTCTTTCAACTTTTTGAGAAATGGAGCATCCCCTATAGCTCTGTCTCCTGCTGCTTCCAATCGGCTGTTGATCTCCTGAGCTAGATCTTGTAGTTCCCGGAGGTCCTCTTTCACACCCACTATATAGCTGTACTCTTTGAAGACCAGTGGAGCTAACTTGTTGCCCACAAGCTTCAACATTGCAGATACTGCTGCAGCTTCCATACCAACCATGTTTCAGTAAGCGCCTTCTTTCGCCCAGATTTCCTATAGATCTTATTAAAAAGAAATAAGCAGGCATTGTGTGAAGCAAAAGAGTCATATAATGCTAGCACTTTCTTGTGCAATTATCTTTTTCCCATATCTGACCTGCGCAAACAAGTGTAGCCAGCACTTTAGCCTCTTGATAGATGAATGCTGCTGAAGTGGGGCTTCTAATTTGCAGGCAGGCCTTTAAAAGCCTTGTTGTCCCTGCCATCACAAGGAGCCCAGCAGGTGCTCCAAAACTAGAGAGCCTGAGATCAGATGGGGTTTTCTTCTAGGCAATGAATGAAGAAACATAAACTAGCCCCGCCTTGCATCAATTAAGTAGGGAAAGGAGAGGTGAACGAGTTAACACGGGTAAAGATGAACATAAATACCAACCAGAGCGCCAAGTACAGAAGAATCAACGGCGTCTTTGTAGGCTCTGTCTTCAGTACTACCTGCGAAGAGTCTGAAATTAGGTGTAAGCAGAAAGAGTGGAAGGCGCTGGCGTGCAAACTGGATGTCATAAAACAAACTGGATGTCATAAATCAATCTTAATTGGTTACAAGTAGAATATGATAGTGTAAAAATACCTGAATCTCAGACGAGATATGCTGCTGCTTTTGCCTCTGACATCTCCAAATGCCGTGCTTCTTCTCCCCTCAGCGAGGTGTGCGTGCAAGCAAATCGGAACCGGATCTGCGCAAGGAAGGCGCAACTGAGCTTAACTGAGCCTCTGCCTGCTGTTGCTAGTCTTGTGACGCTTAATCAGCAACTGTAGGTGGGTCGGTCAGATGTCCAGTCTCGAATAGTATCGATGCTGGAGTCACGTGCGCCGGACGCAAAAGAGTGGCTATTGCCTGTTGGCCCAGTGGTAGGTAGCTGTTGGCAATGGTGCGACAGTGGTGAGTGGAGTGGTGACGATGCATGGTACCACATGTGCTCGGCACCAATGGTGCGTCGTGTTGGCACTGCCAATAATTCTGCAGCGTGCGAGTAAAGTTCACCGGTGGTCCGCAGACTTTTCGGCTACGTTGTCCCGGTCCTTAAAATCGATGGTTTATGTCCATAAATTTGTTTACCGTGTCATACCAGTCCCTAAACATACAAATCACCCTTTTAGGTTTTCAAAATTGTTCGTCTATATCATCCAAGTCTCTGAACTCGCTAATCACCTATTTAAGTACTCAATCTCTATTCGCGTCTCAGTGGCTCTAGGACCTTAATATAGATCGACGATATAAGGAGGTGATTTATGAGTTTAGGGATCAGGATGACATAACTGAACAATTTTAAGGACGAGTGATTTGTGAGTTTAGGGGTCGGAATGACATGGACGAATAAGTTTGAGGACCTAAACACACGATTTGTGAGTTTAGAGACTAGCGCTACTACAAAAAGCATTTGTAGCAACACCTCCTTTTTTTTAGGGGTGCTTTAATTTAAAACCGCCTCTACAAATGTTGCTTCCCTTGGGAAAAAAATCGGCTATTTGATATTTTATTCTCGAATTTTGAAAATTGCTGGATGGGGATTAGAACCGGCGATGATACCCCTTTCACTGTCGGTCCTAACCACGAGTCGGCGGTGAAGGGTGTATCACCGCCGGCCCAAAACCGGCAGCGGTGGGGTACCCATCACCGCCGACCCTTAACCACCGACCGGCAAAACCGGTGGTAAAGGGGGGTTAAGGACCGGCAGTGATGGGGTATGTGTAGTAGTAAGCACTTACCTCGATCAATTGACTCGAGAGGTTATACCACTGCCTAAACCACGTGTATCGTTGGTTCCTAACGATTTGTCCAATCAGAATCCAAACCAACTAAATTTTCAAAAAAAAAAAACCAACTGGACATTCTTTTTTTTTCTTCCTTTTAACCTCTATGAACTGAAACTTTAAATGATTATTTAGAAATACATATGACTTCAAATGAAAATCACTACAAAGCTGTCGAACACTACAATCTTCGTATAACTGTTTTATTCATTAGAGTTGTTTAAATATTTTATGGAAGTATATTATTACTTATATTTTCCGTGGCCTAAATAATGAATGAACCATAGAATTTTTGCATGATGATAATGCTAACCCTTAGAGCGAATAAATTATCATATTAATAGTTTTATACAGTTCTCTTATTTTGCATGGAGCTTTGGACTAATATAGGGCCATGAACGCAACATATATGTGTTAATAGTTTTCTACTGTATATTTGGAATACGTTAATCCCATTAAAATGATTATATTTTCAATATCTGTCGGTACAGAATGTGACCAACTAGTAAATATTTGTAGTTTTGCTGTACGTTGCGATCGGAGGTGGCCTAGCACTCAATGACACGGGATTTATACTGGTTCGGGCAATGTGCCCTGCGTCCAGTCAGGGTCGGTCAGCGACTTTATTCCCGAGCCCAGGTGCTCGAAGTCTGTAGTGGGGTTACAAACGAGAAGAAGAAAGATGGGGTGTGCAAGAGGTCCGGTCGGCTCAGATTGGAAGGGCCGAGAGCGACTGGAACTAAGCTATGAGCTAAGTGTTCAAACGTGAGCCTAAGGTCCGAACTTGACGGTTCTGTGGTTGTGAGCTTATTGGACTACTGAATCTAAGGAACTGAGCCCCCTTCAATCGGGGGTTGCGCATCCCCTTTTATAGATGAAGGGGATGACTTTACAAGTGAGAGAGAGGGTACGGATGCTTCTGAGCCTTATTGCCCACGCCGAAGAGGATGGGATAATGGTAGGCGCCCACAACACTGTTGATGTCACTGTAGAATGTCAGGTGCATGTGGGAGGTTACATTGTCTTCTTCAGGAAGGGTTGATGTCGGTACCTGCAAAAATACTGCTTGCCCGGAGGCATGTGAGGAGTCTCACCACGTTTACCAGGTATGGTGAATTCTGGCGCCTACAACACTATTGGTGCCCAGAGGCATGTGAGGGGCTTTTTGCCATATGGGAGCTTGACGGCATCTACAATACTGTAGGGATAAATGTCGACGCCTACAATACTGTATATGTCAGGATGGTTGTGGAGCACTGCTCCCGCAGGTGTTCAGGGTATGGTCCCTGTACCATGGTTTGACTTGTGTGCTACTTTCTCCGTTCGTCCCTAGTCCCTTCCGAGCGGGTGTCTCCGGTCGGATGGCTCCAATTGGCTTCAGTTGCGCCAGTCGGAGAAAAGTGGCGAGCAGGGTTCTTACGTACCCCAGTCAGAGAGACACGGGGTCGGAGTCGGAAGTAGGGCTCGAGGCAGGCCTTCCGATCGGAGAGGCCATTCGGAGGCGGCTGGAGCCTAGAGCAAGTGCTCCGGTCAGATAGGTGGGCCGAAGAACTTGACGAGCGGGTGTTGCTCTTCTTAGGCCAGGCCTTCCGGTTGGATGCTGGGCCGTCCCTTTGCCCTGTTGTTTTTAGACTCTTGGGTCGAACCTTGGCGTGGAAGCCGGTCCCCAAGGGACCCTGGGTTTATAAACCCGATAGGAGCCCCTGAGCCCCCGGGTGATTCGGGCAGAATCGTCCGGGGGATTTTTGTTTTGCCTGCTGGTGCGCGCGAGCGCACCCACGGGTGTAGCCCCCGAGCCCCCGGGCGGTTCGGGTAGAACCGGCTGGGGGGGTTTTCTGTATTGCAATTGGGAGAGGTTTTTGTTCGGCGGGTGTAGCCCCCGAGCCCCCGGGTGGTTCGGGCAGAACCGGCTGGGGGGTGTTTGTTTTAGCGGGCGTGTGTGCGTGTTTTTAGTTTGAGATGGATTTTTTGTTCTAACCAAGGTGTCATTGTGCAGCCGAGGCATTTTTAGGCGCGGGGATTGGATTGAGACAGAACCTATTGATCCCGGTGTCGGCGCGCGCTGGGGATCGGGCGAGGGAGTTTTTAGTTTTGAGACAGACCTTGGTGTCGGTGTGCACCATGAATGGAGACAACTTAGTTTGGATGCGACAGAGCTCACTGATCTTTGGCGTCGATGCGCGCCGTGGGATCGGGTGAGGCGGAGTCGCGAGTAGACCCAGGTGTCGGTGCGCGCCGTGGGATCAGGCGAGGTGGAATCATGAGTAGACCCAGGCGTCGGTGCGTGCCGTGGATCAAGAGAGTTAGTTTTAGTTAGTGAATCCATTACGCGAGTTTGGAGTCACGGTCCCAAGAGCCGTAGCCGGATGTCGCTGATCCTGTCGACGCGAGTTCGGGGTCACGGTCCCAAGAGCCGTAGCCGGATGTCTCCTATCCCGTCGATGCGAGTTCGGGGTCATGGTCCCAAGAGCCATAGCTAGATGTCTCCTATCCCGTCGATGCGAGTTCGGGGTCGCGGTCCCTAGAGCCGTAGCCGGATGTCGTTGATCCTGTCGACGCGAGTTCGGGGTCGTGGTCCTAGGGTTTTTTTGGAGCATAGTCGGAAGTGAAGCCATTACGAAAACGTTGTTAGTTTAGTTAAAGATCAGACGAGGCGGTGCTCGCGGGTCCTGGCATCGGTGCGCACCGTGGACCAGGCGAGTCGTAGTTGTGGATCTGGCGAGTTTGAGGTCGCCGTCCTTGGCGTTTTTCTTGAGCCCCCGAGCCCTTTTGGGCCTTCGTAGGGGTCGATGTGAGTTTATGTGTGTTACCTCATCTGGTTCCTCACAAACCAGGGGGGCTGAGTTTCGTCGCCTGTCCCGATTGCTCCGGCTCGAAGACTAGCTCGGTGAGTTCACTAACGGGTGTGATCGAGCGGAATCTGGGTCCGTCGTTTGTGACGGGGTCGACATAGCCCTCTTGTGACATTCCACTACTCCTTTACCTGCAACCCGACAGATGCCTAGGTCATTCCGGAGACCAACCTAAGTGGCCTTTCGGCCTCCCCTCGATGGAGATTCTGTGGGCTTGGCGAGAGGTTCAGGATCGAACGAGAAGGTTGAGATGACCTGGTCTGCTAGACCAGGCTAGGGCCGCACAGTGCTCATCTATGGTTTTCTCCCCTGGCTCTGTTGGTTACTCATGTCGAATGAGGCAACCACCGCTTCGTGA